GCAATCAAATTAAGATAGATATGGCTAATTGGAGTACAAAATTATTCAAACTTTCATTAAAAAAATATATTCGAGATGGTACTATATATGATTTTATTCATGCATTAGAAGAAAAAGATGGTAAATCATATTCTAATATATCCTGGAAAAAGTGATTCATACATTTTTCCCATATAGAAATATCTCGAAACTCAGCTTCCTCAATGTATTGTATTGTATCTTTACTATGTAAAGCCTCTTTGGAACTAATTATTTTTTTTTGAGTGAATTGGAAATTCGAAGCTTTGATTCCTCATTTTTATTATAAACAGAAAGTGGAATAGTAATAGTCTTTCCATTAGCTGATGCTGTAAACTCACCCTTTACTATAGGTTCCCAGCTAGCTCGATGTTGTCATCTAGTACCAAGAATAAATAATAATATATCATTACCATTATTATCTTTTTCTGTTGGTAAAACTGAAAACTCATCTGAAATTATTAAGGTATCCTTTTCAATACCTATAGTAACAGGTATATCAGAAAAGCTTCCAATAGATTGTTTTTTGCCTACAGCACCTGTTAGTCTATAAATCTTTTTTCTATCTAATTTTAACCCAAAATATTTTATAAAATGGTTTGTGATATTTTCAGAAATATGTGACCCATCTGAACCTGTATCGAGTAATGCATGGAGTATTTCTAAATCATATACTTTACATAAAATAGTAGCATAATTATTGGGTTCTTTTATTTGCAAAAAGTTTATTTTTAATGGGTCAAACCAATTTCGATATAATTGAGCTTCTTGATATTGTTTTATAGCGTAATTTAAAGAGGAAGACCCCTCTACCTTCTCGAGCTCGTGAGAAGAACTAGAGCATGCTTGGAATAATGGTTCTAAAATAACTTGATACTTTTTTATTATATTTTCCCAGACCTTGTCTACTTCTTTTTTCGTATAGTTTTTTAAATGATATGAATAATATGAGTCTTTCATTTCGGGAAATAATTTACTAAGATCTGTATATATTTCTGTTAGAACTTCTTTAGGGCATTGGGGAATATATCTTGTTATTATATATTTAACCGATTCTAAAAATATCTGATTTTCATTAATAGCCTTTTTACTAGTTTTTGGCTTATTGGACTTCTTTTTTATAGACGATCTAGAAACCCTACTTTTTTTTTTAAATTAAAGCAATTAGTTTCTTGAGATTCAATCTCGCTATTTTCTTGGTCACTTTCTGTTTGGCTAGTTTCTTCTTGATCGTATTCAATTTCATCTTTCGATTGGCTTTGGCTAATATATCCATATTGAGAAATATTATTGATCTGTTTAGCTTTTTTAGATACGGAGTGTCCTGCTCTGCAGACTTTGGGGCAATTCGTTTTTGT